GCCTCTGCCCCCCCTCCGCCCCCCACCCCTGCACCCCGCCCTCAGAGCTGCCAGCCAGGCCTGAGCTGGGCTCTCTGAACCTCATCCCTTGCGTTGCCCCCCAGCCGGCCACCAGGAGGGCAAGCAGCCATGAGCTGATAGAGCTGGGCCTCCTGGACCCCACCCCCCCAGACGGGGAGGAAAGGCCAGGCGTGCAGGGGTCACTGTACAGGGGTCATCACTCAGCCCTGCAGCGCCCGCCCTGTGGCCGTGGCTGCCCCTCCTCGCAGAGGCCGACAGCCTGCCTGGCTCTGGAATGCACGGGGCCACCCGCCCTGGCAGCTGCCGGGAGAGGCTGGGAGAAGGGTGCAGAGGCACGTGGCCTTTCTGGGGTGCCCACGCAGGTGCTGGCGGTGGGTGCAGGCTGGGTGTTTGCCACGTCTGCCCTGCAGGCTGCATCGCCTTTAGCTCCTCCCTTGTCCAGGGGTCTTGACCCTGGAGGTGTCCCGAGGGCCGCTCACCTCCCTGTCCCTCTCAGGCAGACTTTGCCCTGGGCCTGCCCTGTCCTGGCCCCTCCTCTTTCATCTCCTCTCTTCTTGTGTTTGGGGGCTGGGCGGGGGGGACCTTTGAGATAAGACCAGGGCAGTGGGGACATGGGAGGGGCCGGGAGGGCGTGTGATGATTGACGTCCTCTGCTGCCCCCTGGTGGTCGGCTCGGCCCTGCAGGCAGCCGGACTGGAGACTTGGGATGAGCGAGGCTGGTTCCCTGTCGGGCTCCCTGTGTCCCTGTTCCTGCCGCTGTGCGTTGTGTGGTGCCACCGGCTCGCGCTGAGGGTCCTCAGGAAGCAGCCCCGTCCGTGGGACTATGGGGTGGTGTTGAGGTGGCAGCGCCTGCACCCCACAGCTTCTGGGAGGACCCAGCTTAGAGCCGCCCGCTGTGCTCGTCCTGGGCCAGCGGGTGGGCCCCCCATACTGTCCTTCGTCCCCCCACCATCCGGGCATTTACCCTTGAAAAGCGCCCGACGTGGTGTCCAGAGGCAGGCGGGTGTGGCGGCTCACAGGTAGCTCACTCCATCCTCACGTCCCCGAGAGCTGGCGGCGTCCTTATGCCCATTTTCCAGAGGCGGGAACTGAGGGTCAGAGAGGCTCTTTCCTAGCCTGGTTCCTGTGCCATCTCCTTGCTCTTCCAGAACCTTCTGGGGAGCAGGAGCCGAGCCAGTCCCGTCACCCGGTATCCGCAGCACCAGGTGCCTGTGAGGTGCCAGTGCTCACCCTCTCCCCGCCCACCTGCCCGGGGTTCCTCTGGGCACCCGAGCTGCTGGGGGAGGGACTGGCAGGGCTGGGGGAGGGGCTTCGGGCGGCGTTAAAGCCCCTCGTCTTCCCTCCTCAGTGGAGAACATCCTGCACTGTGAGTTTGCTTACCTGCGGGACCTCCTCATTAGGTGAGACCTGGGGTGGGGGACCCAGATCGGGGTGTGGGCGGTGGGCGGTGGGCTAATCCCCCGCCGGGCAGCCGAGCAGTGGGG